CAAAGCACTCATCGGCTGCCAGCGGCCAGGCTCGAATCCTTCGGAGACGACCAACACCAGCGAGTGTTGCATAATAGGAAAAATCCTTTCCTGACCTTGTCAGTGATCACACTGTGCCCTGTTGCTGTCTGCATGAAACATTAACTGTGGGAGATCATTATTGTTAAATTAAGTTTAAACTGTTCAGCTTTAACATGCAAAGAATGTTCAAAAATGCCTTTTTTTTTTCTTTTCATTACCAGGCAGCTTTTTGACATGAAAATACGGTTTGGAAGGGGAGGAGTTGGGTTCACCCAGAGTGCCAGCTAGGCTATTTTTATTTCGGAAAACAGAAATATTTCATAATAGATCTACCAGAATGATTAAAACACCCTTTCCTGGCAACGGGTGCAGCAGGACAATGGTGTTTTTGCAGACCACGCATAGTGAGGGTATTGCATCGAGGGATGGAAGAGTCCTGGGTATCACGGTTAAAAAATTAGTGTGTTCGGAACAGCACTTTGGTGACTCTCGTACAACTTCATGCAGCACATGAAGTCGACAACAAATTATTCAGCAAGCATTTCCTTGGGCGTCGATTTCAGACAAGACTCTACAATGAGCAAATAGAATCATAGAATCATCGAATGATTTGGGTTGGAAGGGACCTTAAATATCATCTGGTTCCAACCCCCCTGCCATGAGCAGGGACATCTTCTACCAGACCAGGTTGCTCAGAGCTCCATCCAACCTGGCCTTGAACCCTGCCAGGGAGGGGGCAGCCACAGCTTAAGTACCCCCAGTGCTTGATGATGTTTGGAGTGGGAAGCTGCAGTCGCCTGTTTTCACTCTTGCTGCCAAACTTTGATGACCCTGTGTGTTGTCCTTACACGTGCGATTGAGTACATATTTACTCAGTACGTATTTGCTCAGTATACAAGTCAAGTTACTACCCTCTTCATATGCCCAATGACAGGATAGCTGGAGATGCTAATTAATGAATTGGCCTCTGGGGTGAAATTACGTCCTCGTTAAGAAGACTCCCATTGATATTAATAAGGTCGGAATATCATTGCTGGTGGCTGAGTCACGGCTGAGCTGGATATCACGGGTGTGTAAACAACGGAGCTGCCCTGGAAAGCCGGCTGCTTGGTCTGTTTATCTGCGCGACTCGAAATGGATCACGGTGATATCTGGGGTCAAAAATCACAGGAAGCCATAACCATAACGCTGCGTTATACATGCTTTTTTCCCTCCATTCAGCTGAGCTGTTTTGCAGGAGCCCTAAACTGCAGAAATAACTCCCTTCCCGAGGGCCTGGAACCAGCTATTTCCAATTTCCTCTTAACCCCGCATCACTGGTTTTTCTCTTCCTCACCTGACCTGCTGTTTCCACCCATTGCAACCTCTGCCCACATCCCCAAATCCTCGGCATCTCCCAGCCCTGTCCCTTCTGTTGCAGGTCCTTCCAGCTGCCCTGC